ACACACAAACGCACGAACGACGATCACGACACGGCCACAGCGACACGGCGCCGCGCTGTACACGCTGCTGCGTTCGCGAGGACTGCACGGGGCTCCGCTCGGCCCGGCGTCTGGAGCGGGTCTGCGCGGCACCGCTCCGCCCGCGGCCCACCTCGCCCCGCCCTGCCCCGCCCCACCGCCCCACCGCGCCGCGCCGCGGCCTGCCCATCGCCACGCCAGGTCCAAGCTGCGAGGCAACGGGGCATTCTAGGTTTGCCGTCCCGGTCCGTCCCGGTCCGTCCCGGTGCGACGCGTGGTGCCGCCGGGCCAGCGGTGACAGCCGCCCCCCAGCCAGCTACGACAGCCCCGTCAGACACGTTCGCAACATTTGTTGTTGTTGCTGGCGTATTGCTGACATTGGATACTCCGCGTCGCCGACCGAAATCCGAAATGCGAAAGGCTGCATGGCTGGGAGCGCGCGCGCGACAATGTGACTGATGGGCGGAGCTCTGCGAGCGCCTGGCAGGCAGGCAGACCCGGCGCACCGCCGCGCGCAACGGCGCTGCCTACCCGCCCGGCGCCTCGCGAGCAGCGGGATGGATGAGGGATGGAGGCGGCGGCGCTGCGCCCGTTTCGCAACCGGGTGCGACTGGTGTGGCCGTACGCAGTGCAGTGCGAGCGAGCGCGACCGAGGCGGAGGCGATGCACTCTGTCCACACGGGGCTGAGGGTATACACACGGCACGCCATAAGACCCAGTTTCTCCAAAAGGTCAGGCTCAGGCCGCGCCATCACAGTGCAGCGGCGGCGGTGGCGGCGCGGCCTCAGCGGAGAGCGATGCAGCGATGCCGCGCTTAAAAGCCACCATCACGGGGCTCTACGGCCACCACTACGGCGTGTGGGGGTGGGAGAGAGGGGGCTGGTAGGGGGAGGGGTTCGATGATCGCTCGAGACCGCTCCAGTGCGCTGGACTGCCGGCGACTGCTGACCGTGGGAACGCGCGATCCTCCCGCCCCGCTCGGCTTCTCCCGGCGCGCCGCGCGAAAGGCAATGACAATAAAGAGCAGGGCCGCCGCTTATCGCATCGGCGAGCCTCCAGTAGCCTCCAGTGGCCTCCAGCACCCTACAGCAGCATCTCAAGCAGCCTCTAGCAGCCTCTCAAGCAGCCTCTAGTAGCCTCCAGCAGCCTATCAAGCCGCCTGTCAAACAGCCTCCAATAGCTTCCAGCAGCCTCCAATAGCCTCCAGCAGCCTCGAACAGACCCTCAAGTAGCCTCCAACAGCATCCAGCGGCCTCCAGCTGGGCGACGTAGCCGGCGTTACGCACGCCGCCCCGATACTAGCAGGCCGCGGACCCACCCCTCCTCGCCCCCCGCCCTAGCTTCCCCTCGCTGCTGCAGCAGCGTGGTGCTGATGCCCCCGCCGTCCCCAACAACAACATCCGCAAGTCAACAGCGTGGGGATCACATCGCGGTAGGGCAGAGGACCCGTGAGAGGGCCGCCATCGTCATGGCCCCCCCCACCCCATCCTCCTCCCGCGGTCCTGGCCGGGGGGAAGCCAAAGCCAGCTGAGGTCGAAGGGACAACCTCTAAACCGTGAACCGTCTCGAACACTGCTGCCGCGCCCGCGCCGCCCTTTTTCTGACCAGGTGGAGCGTGGGCGGCTACCGGCCCGCGGGGCTCGACGGCCCGGCGGCAGCCTCACTGTGGTCAGACTGCAGGATATTTCGTCAAAAGTACGGAGCCGCCGTCGGCCGCGGCGCGTGGCTGCGCTGCAACGGCCTATCTGTTTGGGCGACGCCGCCCCGCCCCGCCCCGCCCGTGCTCCACTCGCCCGCGCCTACTGCCCAGGCTCCCGGCAGCCTTGGACGCAAATGCAATCCAGGCCGCAGGAATACCAACTACCAGCCGCGGGCGGGAAGCACGGCGGGCGCGGCGGGGCCGCAGCGCCCCAGCCCACCAGTGTGAGTAAATAATCACCCGGGAATAATATCACTGCATTTGTTCATCGTGCGAGGAAGCAGCGGCTAAAATGCCGTAAAAAAGAGGGGTAGTGAGGGGGGAGGGGGTGTACTACCGGGTATCAGCAGCTGTAATTGGTCCCGTAATACCCATCATACCATCAAGGGGAAAAACATGAAAAAAAGAACGTTCATTTTAACTCATCGGCTCGCCCCCCACCTACCCCTCTCCTCCGTTCTGCGAACAAAATGCTTCTGCATGGCCGGTTGCGCCGGCTGCCGCGCCCCGCCACGCCACGCCCTGTTTTGCTTTGGCACGCGAACCGCAAACTGCGCAGCGCATCCATCCACTCATCCATCTCGGCGGGGCGATCGGATCGGGGCGCGGCGGGGCGAGGCGGGGCTGGCTGCCTCGTAACGCGCGCGCCCCGGCCCGGCCACTCCACTCCACTCGCAATAACGAATTGTCCGGTAATGCGGCCCATCCCTCCCCGGCGCCGCCGAGCGCTGGCCGCTTGCTGGCCGAGGTGAAGCAAGGCTCGCCGGTGGAGCGCGGAGCCTGGGCAGGGCAGCGCGCCCGGTCACACATGCAGCCCGATACTTACTACAAGGGGGAAGTGCCGCAAACCTGCGCTAACAGACTGCGCGCGCTTGGCTGGCTCTGGGCGGGGCGGGGCGGGATGAGACCGCACTAGGCCGCGGGGGGCTTGCAAAACGCGCGCCCGGCCGATTCAAACTGTTCTGCTGCTGCTGCTGGGGAGGAGCCGGTGCAATGCAATGCAATGCAGGCCCCGCTCGCGCGGGGCGAAGCCCGAGACGTTCAAGATGAGCAAGCAGCGAATAAATAAAGAGAAAAAAGAAAAGAGTGCTCGAAAAGCCACTAAATAGTAATGGGAGAAGCGGGTTGAGCCCCAGTGCCTCACCGTAAGACTTATTCTAGGTACACTAAAACTAAAACCAAGAGAAACTCTAAACTAAACTGGGAAGTTTGAGGTAAGTACGGGAGCGAATCCGATTGCGAAGAAAACAGCCTCTACACTGATACTTTGAGCAGAGTACACTCATTTCTCATACTGAACACATTGCTGAAAGGTGAAAGAAAATCGTTCGTAGGGAGGGCACGGCAGAGAGGGCGGAGGTGGAGGGAAAGGGGGGCGGGGGGACGCACGCCGCGTCGTGCCACTATAAGCATCTTGCCAGACCCATCACCCCCCAGCCAGCTACGACAGCCCCGTCAGACACG